AGGTTTATATATCTGGAATGATGTCCAGGGTGGGGGAAAGAATTCTTGTCTTGCTGTGAGTTTTCTGGGCTGTCTGGCCATGTTCCAGAAGCATTCTCTCCTGACGTTTCTCCCACATCTGTGGCAGGCATCCTCAGAGGTGTGAGGTCTGTTCGAAACTAGGCAAGTGAGGTTTATATATCTGGAATGATGTCCAGGGTGGGAAAAGAACTCTTGTCTGGGTTTCTGTGAGTTTTCCAGGCTGTCTGGTCATGTTCCAGAAGCATTCTCTCCCAACATTTCTTCCACATCTATGTCAGGCAACCTCAGAGGTCGTGAGGTCTGTTGGAAACTAGGCAAGTGGGGCTTATATATCTGTGGAAAGTCCAGGGTGGGAGGAAGAACTCTTGTCCGGGTTACTGTGAGTTTTCCAGGCTGTCTGGCCATGTTCCAGAAGCATTCTCTCCTGACGTTTCTCCCACATCTATGGCAGGCAACCTCAGAGCTTATGAAGTCTGTTGGAAACTAGACAAGTGGGGTTCATATATCTGTGGAATGATGCCCAGTTTGGATTGCTGTGAGTTTTCCGTTCTGTCCGACCATGTTCCAGAAGCTGCAAGGCCATTGAATGCTAATCATGGTAGTCACTTGCAACATTTGCACTTGCTTCCAACAGACAAGAGTTCTTTCTCCCAGGCATCCTCAGAGGTTGTTAGCTCTGTTGGAAACTAGATAAATGGTATGTGTGTGTGTGTGTGTGTGTGTGTGTGTGTGTATCCATATATATCCCTGAGGAATAATGTCCGGGGTGGGAGAAAGAACTCTTGTCTGTTGGAGGCAAGTGTAAATGTTGCAGTCGGGCATCTTGCAATAGCTTTGCAGCTTCAAAGCCTGGCTGTTTCCTACCTGGAGGAATCCTTTGTTAGCTGGCCCTGATTGATTCTTTTCTCGGCTGCATGGTCATGTTCCAGAAGCACTCTCTCCTGATGTTTCACCCACATCTATGGCAGGCATCCTCAGAGCTTCTGAGGTCTGTTGGAAACTAGGCAAGTCGGGTTGATATAGCTGTAGAATGATGTACAGGGTGGGAGAAAGAACTCCTGTCTGTTGGAGGTTGGTGTGAATGTAGCAGTTGGTCACCTTGATTAGCATTTAGTGGTCTAGCAGTTTTCAAGGTCTGACTTCTTACTTCCGGAGGAATCCTTTGTTGGGAGGTGATTAGCTGGCCTGGATTGTTTCTTGTCTGGAATTCCCCTGTTTTTGAGTGTTGTTCTTTATTTACTGCTTTCAATAAACCATGAAGATGAACAAAATCTGGCTACCAGTATTTAAAAAACTCTAGAATCAACATAACAGTAAATAAAGAACGCTACAATTCAAAGTGCTGGCTTTAACAGTGTCCTGGTTCCTAAGACCATTGGAAATATGTGCATTCTGATGATCTTTGGTGACCCCTGTGAAAGGGTTGTGCCAGAGTCTTTGCAATTCGATTATTATTATTATTATTATTATTATTATTATTATTATTATTGTTATTTGAAATACAACAAGATGAGTTCACAGCAGACATTCTGCTGGCTGTTGTATTGGATCACACGTCAGACACTTCCCAAGCATCTAGGACTGTATGATATATCGGCGAATAATGTGTGCAGATACCAGTAAGGTGGCCTTCTGCAGTTGGAAACTCCAAGCAATTTGTCCCAAATGCACTTTATTGGAGATCTGGGATCGTCTGCACGCCCCACCTATCTTCAAAATACATATCCTATTTCACCTGGTCGTGCCCAGCATTTTTTAACAATTTTAATTATTACACTTGGCCCTGCCATAGGTTCTTTTAATGCGTCGTGGTGTTATTGTTAATGTTTACTGCTTGTTTATGAATTCATTTACTGCTGTATTGTTGTTGTTGTTGTTTTACTGATGTATTTGGGCTCGGCCTCTTGTAAGCCGCACCGAGTCCTTTGGGAGAGGGTAGCGGGGTTTAAATAAAGGATTATTATTATTATTATTATTATTATTATTATTATTATTATTATTTTGTCAGTGCCGATTGTGTTTAAGTGCAGGCCAAGGTCTTGAGGCACTGCACCCAGTGTGCCGATCACCACTGGGACCACCTTGACTAACTTGTGCCTGAGTCTTTGCAGTTCGATCTTTAAATCCTCGTTTCATGTCAGCTTTTCCAGTTCAAATCAAACCATTTATTTCGGTCATTGACCAGCACAAGAAATAGTTACATTTTCATACAAACATTAAAAATATAAATATAACGACTGAAGCACAATATGGGTGAGGGAGCAGAAGGGGAAACAGGGTAAAAACATACAATGCCCAGATCCATCACCAAATTGTAGATTCAGAGAAGAAGATTACTGGACACACAGTTAACTTTTGGGACTAGTCATTCCCTGACGGATTTTGTATGCTGCTGCACAGAACTTTGCAACACTGTAGGTTGTAGCTGAATTAATATCTGCAAGTAGCATGGAGGTATAAAATTGTCCTGAATGGCCTGGATGCTTGTATAACAGAGGTAAGATAAGCCTGGCACGGATATCCCTGTAGAACATTGCAAACATTCTTGCTGCGAGGTTAAAGGAGTTCTTAAGAGAATGGATAGAAGAAGAACAAACAGGCTTTCTCCCAAATAGATATATGAAGGACAATATTCGGATAGTTCTGGACTTAATAGAATACTATGAGTTAAATCATCAGAAGGCATTGGCTATCCTAGCATTAGATGCAGAAAAAGCATTTGATAATTTAAATTGGGACTTTTAAAAATTGTTGATACAAGAATTAGATATGGGCACTAAATTTAATAATGCAATAAACGCGATATACAACACAGGGGCAGAGTCTCTCTGGGAAAGGGATCTTCGGTAGCGGCCTTCCTTCGAGTACAGCTGATGGGAGAGGGTGGCATCGAGCCAGGATGAAAGCCCTTCGATGAATGGGAACCTCTAAGTTGGTTAAACATGCCATAGGGGAGGCAAGATATCTGCTGTTTTCATTGATAAGGAAGGTTGGAACCGAGGCCAAATCTAGTTGTCGCTCAGTGTCTGTAATATGTTGTTTAATGAGTGCTTTGGCTTGATTGTAATCCATGGCGAGTAGTAGACCTTGAGAATATCCCAATGAGGAGATTTTTGATGCTATTGCCTGCTTCCATGTGGATTGGAAGTCATCCTTCATGGTTAGTGGGGCAAGACCAAAGGGTGCACGGGATAGTCTGAGCCAGAGGTTGAGTATGGCCACCCACACCCTGGCCTCCACTCTCATAAAACCCGTCTCTAGTCGCAGGGTGGCATTAGAAACCCATTTAGGGACCTGCAAGGCCGATCTCAGAAACTTTGACTGAACCAGCTGTAATGGGGCGAAACTGGGGAAGGGGCCCAGCTGAGCACCATACAAGAGTTGGGCTAATGACTTGGCTTCAAACAGCTTGAGCGCTGCCGGTGTGAAGTGGCCCCCTCTTGTCCTGAGATATTTAAGAATGGCAATTGAGCTCCCCTACGCGGTGTTGGAGACTTGATCCCCATGAGCTCTTCTGCTACCATTAGATTGGAAAACTACACCTAGATATTTGAAGGATGTAACTTGTTCAATTTTATGGCCATCTATGCTCCAAGAGTAAGTCCTGAGCCTATTAGCGAAAGCCATGATTTTGGTTTTATTGTAATTAATTTGGAGCTGATCTGTGTTGCAATGTTGTGTGAATACTCTTAGAGCTCTTTTGAGCCCAATGGGTGTTCTAGAGAGGACAGCATCATCATCTGCATAAGCTTTTCCAGTTGTTTCTCTGCAATCCTGCTGTCACCTGGGATTGCGACATCGACGATCCATACTTTGTTTTTTTTTTAACAAAATTGTGAGGTCAGGAGTATTGTGCTCCAAAACTCTGTCCATCTGAATTTGAAAGTCCCAGAGTATCTTGACATGTTCATTCTCTGTAACTTTTTCTGGCTTGTGATCCCACCAGTTCTTTGTCGCAGGCAGATGGTGTTTGTGGCACAAGTTCCAATGGATCATCTGAGCAACGGTGTTGTGCCTCTGCTTGGAGTCTGTCTGCATGATCTTCTTGCAGCAGCTGAGGATTTGATCTATTGTTTCATCTGCTTCCTTATTATTATTATTATTATTATTATTATTATTATTATTATTGCAATTTTGTTATTATTAATACTAATATTATTGCAATTTGACTAAAATATTTATTTGTTTGTTTGTTTGTTTACAGAAATTCTATATTAATTTACTGGATATCTGTTTCCAATATTTACTTTTGGGGATTTTCTTTGGGACTGATTTGGAGGCGGGTTGCGGGTTTTGGGCAGGTTCAAGGCAGTGTTGACAATTGATGCATTCTTCCCAAGTGGCCTTTTTGTACCGGTTGTGCAATTGTCATTGTCGTTATGGATAGTAGAAGGCAAACACATCCTGCCAAGACAACCTGGTGACATGTTTGCCTTCCTTTGGGAAGTACTTGAAGGTACGCAACAAGTGGAAAGAGGAAAACAGGGAGTGGATCTTGCCCTTCCCTGTGGATAATAATAATAATAATAATAATAATAATAATAATTATTATTATTATTATTATTATTCAATGTCCACGCCGAGACCGCCTTATCGGGAGCGGCTCAGGACTGGGTGAACTACAACTCACATCACTACAACTACAACACACAACTAGGATAAGGTGCCACCGTTGAAGCCCTCAATCCACAATAATAATAATAATAATAATAATAATAATAATTATTATTATTATTATTATTATTGTGGATTGAGGGCTTCAACGGTGGCACCTTATCCTAGTTGTGTGTTCGTCCTTATTAATAACGTTGGCCATCTTGACCACACTTGGATGTTGCTCGCCTCTCAATTTTCATCTGTTGGGGGGTATACCCTATATATGTGAATCAGGGTTGGGTGATGTGATGGATATGATATATCTGGGGATGGAGGTGGTTCTTCTGGCATTTTCCCCTAATTCTATGGTTCTCCTTCTCTAGGAGGGTCCCTACTGTACTCGGAAGGGGGGACAGGGAGAGGAACCAGTGAGGTGCACCAGACGTCGAAAGGTCAGTGTCAACCAACCCCACCACTTCATGATATTGGAGATATGTGAGATGCAAGTCCAATGTGTCCCATTGCTGGATTATGATACACAAATCAATGCTATGAGACCATTTCCTCCACTTAGCTTCAATGGTTGTGTGCTTCTGTGATGCTAGCTTGGGTGCCTGGATTAGTAGAAGAAGTCATTATTTACAAAATGCATAAGATTGTGGGTGAACTACAACTCACATCACTCTAGGTTAACCCCCTGAAACTCCATCAACACTAAAGTTTGTTATGTTGGGCAAGTTTGCTCTAGATGCATCATCAGTGAGGTTCAGTGTTATCAGTGTTAAATAATAATAATAATTATTATTATTATAATTATAATTATAAACTACATCTCCCACCATGGTGGGTCAACTCCCCTCAAATCCCTCCAGTAGGTTCAGTTGGTCATGGTGGTTCTGTGTGCCAAGTTTGGTCCAGATCCGTCATCAGTGGTGGTGACAGTGTCTCTGGATTTAAGTGAACTATAACTTCCAGAAATGAAGGTCAGTTCTCCCCAAGCCCCTCCAGTATTTTCAGTTGGCCATAGGGGTTCTATGTGCCAAGTTTGGTCCAGATCAGTAATCGGTGGTAGTCACAGTGTCTCTGGATGTAAGTGAACTATAACTTCCAGAAATGAAGGTCAGTTCTCCCCAAGCCCCTCCAGTATTTTCAGTTGGTCATGGTGGTTCTGTGTGCCAAGTTTGGTCCAGATCTGTCATCAGTGGTAGTCACAGTGTCTCTGGATGTAAGTGAACTACAACTTCCAGAAATGAAGGTCAGTTCTCCCAAAACCCCTCCAGTATTTTCAGTTGGTCATGGTGGTTCTCTGTGCCAAGTGAGTTCCAGGTCCATCATTGATGGTGTCCAGAGTGTTCTTTGATTGCAGGTGAACTATAAATCCCAGTACTTACAATGGCTATAAATCAAGGTGAATTTTCCCCAAAGCTCTCTGGTATTTTCAGTTGGTCATGGGGGTTCTTTGTGCCAAGTTTGGTCCATTTCCATCGTTGGTGGCGTCCAGAGTGCTCTTTGATTGCAGGTGAACGATAAATCCCAGTACTTACAATGGCTATAAATCAAGGTGAATTGCCCCTAAACCTCCTCAGTGTTTTTCTTTGGTTATTTGGGTTTTGTGCGCCAAATGTGGTCCAGGTCCATTGTCAGTGGCGGTCACAGTGCTCTGACTTGATAAAGGATGAACTACAACTTCCACATGATGGAACTACAACTTCCATCATGTGGATTCAATCCCCCAAACTCCTCCAGTATGTTTAGTTGCTGATTAGTTCTGCTGTGTTTGTTATGCAGGCAGAGTTGAAAAGAGTAGGAAAGGCTTAAAGGAGAGGCAGTGGGCGGGGCCATGCAAATTCCACACCAATGGAGAAAGTAAGAAACACTGGAATGTCTGTGGTGGAGGAAACACATACAATCTAGTTGTTGATTAGTTCTGCTCTGATTGTTGTGCCCCTCAGAAAAGAGTCAGAAAGGGTTAAGGGAGAGGTGGTGACCGTGGTCATGCATATTCCATACCAATGGAGAGAGTAAGAAACACTGGGATGCCTGTGGTGGAGGGAACGTGTAAAATCTAGTTGCTGATTAGTTCTGCTCTGTCTGTTGTGCCCTGCAGAAAAGAGTCTGAAAGGGTTAAGGGAGAAGTGGTGACCGCAGTCATGCATATTCCATACCAATRGAGAGAGTAAGAAACACTGGGATGCCTGTGGTGGAGGGAACACATAAAATCTAGTTGCTGATTAGTTCTGCTCTGTCTGTTGTGCCCTGCAGAAAAGAGTCTGAAAGGGTTAAGGGAGAGGTGGTGACCAYGGTCATSCATATTCCATACCAATGGAGAGAGTAAGAAACACTGGGATGCCTGTGGTGGAGGGAACGTGTAAAATCTAGTTGCTGATTATTTCTGATCTGATTGTTGTGCCCCGCAGAAAAGAGTAGGAAAGGGTTAAGGKAAGGTGGTGACCGCAGTCATGCATATTCCATACCAATGGAGAGAGTAAGAAACACTGGGATGCCTGTGGTGGAGGAAACACATAAAATCTCGTTGCTGATTAGTTCTGCTCTGTCTGTTGTTCCCTGCAGAAAAGAGTAGGAAAGACTTAAGGGAAAGGCAGTGGATGAGATCATGCAAATTCCACACCAATGGAGAGAGTAAGAAACACTGGGATGCCTGTGGTGGAGGAAACACATACAATCTAGTTGCTGATTAGTTTTGCTCTGTTTGTTATGCCCCGCAGAAAAAAGTAGGAAAGGGTTAAGGGAGATGCAGTGGGCGGGGTCACGCAAATTTTACACCAACAGAGAGAGTAAGAAACAATGAGATGTCTGTGGTGGAGGAAACACGTAAAATCTAGTTGCTAATTAGTTCTGCTCTGTTTGTTGTGCCCCGCAGAAAAGAGTAGGAAAGGGTTAAGGGAGAGGCAGTGAGCATGCACATTCCACACCAATAGAGAGAGTAAGAAACACTGGGATGTCTGTGGTGGAGGAAACACATAAAATAGGATGAAATTGTCCCTGAATGAAAGTGGGCACCCTACACACACATACATATTTTCACTTTTAATAGGTCTAGAGAGAGCTATAGATGGTTTTTGTGTGTTTGTGAAACAACGCCTTTCCTCGCTGGCCCTTGGCTTTCCAGTAGCACACACTTCCTCTCGTTCTCCCCCATTCACAGCCCAGCCGTGTCAAGCGTGAAAAATCCCAGCCTTAATATTTAATTACAACGTGAGCAATTAATACACTCTGTCCAGGGAGGGCGAGGGGAGACTCAGAGGGATCGTTAACATTAATGATGCATTCAGAACAAATAAGATGCCATTAATATACGAAGGCCCGTGGATGTACTGAAAGGAAAAAAAGAGTCGGAAAAGGGCAGCTTGTACTCAATTGCAATATGTGTGTCTGTGTGTATGTTTCCATACACTGATGGGCAAATACCTTAGGTAAGATTGCCAAGTCAGGCCAAAGTATGGCTTGTGATTATTTGGGAGTGGGTCGACAGGCCAGTAGGCCATGATGCCTTGTGTTCATATGTGGTTTTACTGTATGTGTATGTTTTGCATGTTTTGATATGGTCAAAATTGACTAATCAATAAAGAATTGTTGTTGTGTTGTGTCTGTATGGCTTGTGTAAGGCACCAACTTGCCCAAATGCATCAAGGTGGGCCATCTACAGATGTCACTTTCAACCTCAGCGTTGCCTCCAAAAAATTCCTGCAAATCTCTTGGGAAGACAGGATCATTCTCATTGGAAGTCAGCTGTGACCAGCAGTGCTGTGGAATTTGAAGAGGCACAAATAGAGGGCGAAATGGAGAAACATGTCAAGTAGGCTTGGGCGATCCAGTTCGTTAATTTCGTTATTCGGTATTGATTCGTATTTAAATTAGCTTACGATCCAATATCGAGCCATGCAGGAATAGTGTGAGGAGTAATTAAGAATCGAAACAATTTTTTCCAATTTTCATAATTATTTCGTAATTATTTCATAATTATTTCATAATTATTTCATAATTATTTTCGTATGTATATATTGTATATATATTATATTATATTATTATTTATATATTATATTACTAATTATTATATTATATTATAATTGATATTATAATATAATATAATAATATAATATAATTATAATAATATAATATAATATAATATAATATATTATATTATTTATATATATTATATTATTATATTAATTATTATATAACTATATTATTATTATATTATATTATATTATAATTGTATATTATAATATAATATAATAATATATAATATATAATATAATATATAATAATAATATAATATACAATAATATAATATTATAATATTATAATAATATAATATAATATATATAATATAATATAAGAAATTATTATATTATATTATATATATTATAATAATAATATATAATATAATAATATTATAATAATATAATATAATATAATATAGTATAATATACAACAATATGATATAATAATATTATAATAATATAATATAATATTAGTTGTTGTTTGTTTTATCACACCAACAGTCAACAACAGAGGGAGAGGGAAGCTTCAGAAGTTCCCCCTGTCCCATTTGGAGGGTTTTTTTAGCATATTGCGCAATCGCGTCCGCCATTAACGAATCGATTCGTAATTTACGAAATTTCGGAAATTTCGAAATTTTGAAATCTTAAATTTCGGAAGTCCTCAGAATTTCGAAACGCTAGCGCACCCTAGAAACGAAACGAGTTTAGAACCAATTTTTTTCTTGATCGCCCAAGCCTAATGTCAAGAGGAAGTTTCAGCATGCTGGATGAAGAAGCAAAGACTACCAGCATTGAAGCGATGCTCCTCCGCCATCAATTTCGCTGCACTGGCCACGTTGTCCGGATGCCCAATCACCGTCTCCCAAAACAGTCGCTCCAACTAAAGAATGGGAAAAGGAATGTCGGTGGAGAAGACTAAAAGTTGGGTTTAAAGCTAACCTTAAAAACTGGCATAAACAACAAGAATTGGAGCATTCTCATTGGAGGTCAACTGTGACCAGCAGTGCTGTGGAATTCGAATGGAGGGTGAAAGGGAGAAACATGTCAAGAGGAAGGCTCACAGTCACTCCACACTTTGAAGGCAATTATGATGATGATAACATTAGAATCCAGGCAGTTAGACACCACTTTAATAGCCATGGATCAATTCTATGGAATGATGGGAGTTGAAGTTTTGTAACAGGCATGAGCAAACTTTCTAACTTGGGGACTGCATGCTACCAATCCTTGCGAAGAAGACTGGCTGCCCAGTGATGGAAGGAAAGAAGGGAAGGAGGGAGAGAGAGAGAGAAGGCAGGAAGGACAAAAGGGAGGAAGGGAAGGATGTAAGGAGAGAAAGAGGGAGAGAGGAGAGAGGGAAGGAGGAGGAAAGAGGAAAGGAAGAAGAGAGAGAAAGGAGGATAAGGGAGGAAGGGAAGGATGAGGAA